GTGAAACTAAGGTATCACACGCCTCATATATTCTGTACTGAGAGTAAGTTCATACTGCGCTTCCTCCTGATGACATAAATCTATCTGATACTCTGACACTAGAAAGTGCTGATCCAGATCCTTCGTACCCTTGCAGTGGTTCTGTGGTATGAAGGAAGAAGTCACTAAGGTAAAGATCCATGAAATCAAACATTAATCACCATTATACCTAAGAATATTGGCTTCTAGGAGGAAAAAATCCAGTGCTTTCCTCTTCATTCTGAAAGAATTTTGCACATTTCGGGTGGAACCACAACACGAGTAGCAATTTTGAGAATTCATTATATATTTGTACAACTCCACTCTTCGAAACAAAAATCCAATAAGCCTGATTCCTTACTTAGGAGAGACTGAAGATTTGCAGCCCTAATACACTTGGACTGATGCAAAGAAAAAAGAAAGACTTGAGACTTTTCTTCTTTCTGAGATTCTTGCCCCAGTGACATAGGCACTGTTCCTCCAAGGATAGAAAAGTATCTTCATGCAAGATAACAGAGGATCATGGGTCATTTTCTGAAGTGGGAACAGTTTTGTGTGCTCACAGTGCCTCCTGCAAAAGGGTTGTGGTGCTAAGTCTGCTAAACACAATAAATGTTACACAAGTATTTTTCCCTCCAGATAAGTTACCAGCCATGATAACTCCAGCCAAGCACACAATTAGAGGCAGTGCCTCATCCTACAGAACAAGGCCTATGACCTATTAGTGCAGCACACAGAGCTCATCATGTCCTATATGTGCCATCATCATTTCTTCCCCAGAATGACTGATCTGGAGACATGACATGGCTAAATTTCAGGGCTACCTGATTTGCTGTCAGTACCAATGCCACAGCAGCTAATCACTCTGTGACCATGAAGTCTAAGTTAGGGTTAAGATAAACTTGGAGAAGTTATCTTCTAGTGCAATAGAATTACATAGCAAACACCAGTCCTCAAATATGACATGACTCAAATCTCAGATGGCAAGTTGTCTAACATTTAACCCTACTGAGTGACTTGGGACATAGTATATACTGAAAGGGGAGGGGAAATCCTGTAGCCACTTAATCAGTATGCTGGTTGATGAGCCAATGATGACAGTGATGGCAGTGGACTATCAGGCTTCTGAATGTGTTTTCCATATTTGAATGAAAATAAAACAATCTGAGCTTCTTAGTAAAGCTAAGTTGCAACAAAATAATCTGTCTTCAGATTGAGAATGTCAGAGTTAGATTCCACGCTCCTCCTCTTAATTCCATTCTTTTATCTGGAAATGACAGGCAAATCCATGCTAGGCATCAGGAACAGTCCCACTAACTGCTCCACAAAATGCACAGAGATGTGGCTTTATCTTAACAGCATATGTTAACAAAAAGAAAATTAATCAAAATAAAATTTGACAGCTATACTAGAAATCTAAACCAACAGCATTTTTCAAGCCATGCATACACCAAAAGCTAGACAATAAATAAATAGCATTGCTACCTCTTCTATTTTTCAAACCTTCTATCTTATTCCCTCAGTTATCCCTCCATTGGGGGTGCGCCAGCATCACAAACTGGGATAACAGTAGGGAATTGGGCCAGTTGGTTATTTTCTAGTAAAGGGAATGGAAGTAGAAAAAAAAAGCCCCAAACCTTTTAAAGTAATCTAATATAACAAAATCCCTTTGTGAATGTACTAGAATCAGCATATGGCAATTTAGCCCAACCTAGAACGCATTCTTATTCATTAGACAATGTCTCAGGAGAGAATATCAAACATTATCTTGGAGGCTATGCTGCACTAGCAAATGCTGAATGTTTTGAGAAAAAAATTCAAGGAGTAAATGTTAAATATGAATTAGGTGTGATTTTTTCTATTAGAAATCTTTAGAAATGAGCAAAACTGAAGGCTAAAAATCGCTTCACTTAACCAACTGATGATGCCTATTTTAACCTGCTAGGGTTGCTTGAGAGCTGTTTTGCTAATCCCTGCTTTGTCATTAGGCTATATATTAGCAGGATGGAAATGGCATCACTGCACCATAATTCAGCAATGTGAATACAGAACAAGGAGAGTGCAGAGCTATCGGTGGCAGTACAACAGCAGATAATAAGACTCGGTTACTCAAGCAGAATATGTTGTGTAAAGACAGTTGCAATGTAGAAGCAATAGCTCTAATCAGGTTAATTAGGCTGTATTCATGTTTCATTTATGGTGCAAGTGCCCTGTAAATTCAAAGCAGTCTACCTCATCTCACTGCACTCCTTCTACAGCCATCACACTCTCTGTAACACTTGACACCATATATTTTCTTCCTTTAAAAGAAAAAAATCCCAAGGTGTTTGCCATTGCTTTTTAACAATTCCTTTTTTTCATTGCTTATGGCTGAAAGAATCAAAAAAGGAAGAGATACAGGTTGTGCATAAAGCCTATGCTCACATTAAATTTCCTTCCTCTGCAACCAAATTAGGCACTTGGAAGTTGTTTGTGGAGGGCCTGTTTAATTGTATTTTATTTATTTTTCATGAATTTTCTTTCTCACTAACATGAAATGTTGAATGTTTAAGAAAAACCGTATTTGCTTTAAAAGGTATGGCTCTCACCTTTCCTCCTTTTATCCATTTCCTTAAAGTGATAGACCTCCTATTTATTCCCTCAGAACTAGCTGGAATGATGTGTCTGCTTTGAAGAAAGGATTAGAGCCCAGTGCTGTGACCCTCAAACTCTAGCTGTGTCTCCTCTCCACTTACTGCATTTATTAGATTGTTCCTTTAAAGTAATAATGGGTACAACATTTCTGAGATCACTTTCTCTTCTCCCCCAAGAAAACAAGCCTGGGTAGAGGAGCTATTAAAAAGAGAGAAGACATGCTGCAGATGAAGAGAACATGGCAGTCTGCACCATCATAATTATTATAGCTGTTATTTTAGCCATCGGGTGTCTACATGCTGATTTTGAGCTTAGACTCAGTGTGCTCCATTAGAAAAAGAAATGTAGTATTTTCACTACTCATTTTTAATCAATCTATTTGTGTTACACCTTAATTATAAAACCTTTTATTAAATTTGAAAAATTTTATACCTCCACTTTAATACGTATGTGGTATTTCAATATGTCAATATGATGTTAATAACAATGCTTAAATAAATATTCTTCCTTTCATGGTCCTGTATATAATATGAATTTTTTCTTGTACATTCTCTCCTGTGGAATTGAGCTAGTTGAGCACGTTAGCACAATATTACTGCAGAGGTCAAGCTGTGGCACTGATGAGCAGCACCATAAAAGCAGGTTGACCAAAGCAGGACAGTTTTGCATGTTACCACTTACAGTATTATATTGCTGCTGTGCACTTACTTTCATTCTGGCTACAAAAAAGATGTGACTGTTTGTAAGGAATTTCTAGCTGCATTTGCCAGTATATACTTGCCAAGGTGTGCTGCTGAATTTCATAGGGCTCACAGTCGTGGTGCATCTTGTCATATCTCACAGAACTTAGCACCCTAGAAGAAAATATCAAGGAGAATCTATGTGCACCTATTTTTTCACCATGTGAACAGATATGTAAAATCTTTAGATTTCAGGATATCTCAGTAGTGAAGGAGCCCAAACGAAACAGCCCTAATTTGACTTCTGGTAGAGTAGCAGTGGAGCAGAGGGGCCATGCTACTGCATCCCTGACTCCATCTCAGGTCTCCCAGCACCACAAGAAGGAACTACTTTATTCCTCAGTCAGGTGGCATTGCTCCAAGCAAATGAAGTACTCATATAAAGGGGCTGTTTGATGGGGTCTGCAGTAAATATATCTTTAGGCCCGATGGTGAAGAGCTCAGGACCTGTGGTCAGGTTTCACCCTTCTCCCTGACAAATAGCAATGGCAGACAAAGCCTTGTTCTTCTCCTGGAAGACAGTCTGGCTGCCTGACTATGTGCAGTACTTACAAGTGTGTTGCACCTTTCACAGCCTCAAGGAAATACCAGATGTACATTCCTGAGCTCTCCTTCCTGCCCCCTCAGTAACCCTTGTACCCAGGTGGTTTTTTCATGATATTTAATTTACCATTTGACCAAAAGACAAACTTAAATTCAAAGTAAATGTTAAACACTTGCAAAAAATATGTATAACTGAAGTTAGGGAGCAAATTCCCTCCTTACTTAGTTTTGCTAAGGATTGATCTAAATGTTATTGCTATAAGTGGGAAATACTGGATATATTTTCCCAAGAGTAGCAGCAGTCAAAGCCCCATGAGAAAACACTGAGAAGGACCTGATGCTCCCAATTCACTGAGGTCCTTCTGGAAATGTAACTCACTTTATTAGATTCTTCTTAAAAACAAAGAAATTAATTTCCCTCCTGTTTTCATAGTATAAACTTTCACTATTAGCCAGAAGCTAATGTGTTGGTCATACTGGCAAGATTTGTCTTCCCAGGTGTGGGTAACAAGATATGCTTGCAAAGACAGCCATGGTAGATACCATGGAAAGATATTCTCTTTGCATGCCTATGAGCTCTAAGGTATCTCAGTCCTGAACCTATGAAATCAATCACAAATCCTCCTCTAAAAGTAGAGTTTGAATGTGTCAGAGCAAGGTGTGTCTCCAAAGCTGTGACCCTTAACAAGAGTAAATTATCAGGAGATTGAAGACATGACTGGAGAAAAGCTAAATTATTTCAGTTATGGTGGAGGAACTATACTTAATTTAAATTTTAGTTATTGTTTTACTGTATAACTTCAGTGTAGAGAAACGGGTGGAAATAGCAAGCAAGACATTTTGAAAATTCAACCTCTTTTTCACATAGAAAGTAAGGTAGTTGAAATCATGAGGTGATTTGAAGTTGTCAGCATTCATGACATCAGAAATGTTTATTTTTTGATTGATCAATAGGCATTCTAACATGCACTTATTTGTCAAACTAACATACCAAAAGAAACATGTGATATCACATGCCCTTATAAAAGAGAAACCTACCACATTCACCTTTACTTTATCCTCATCATGAGGGGCTTGATATTAGCCCTGGTTTTAACCTTGGTGGGTAAGTAACTAACTTATCTGCTTCGATTAATTTAAAGTAATATATTCAGGATAAGGTTTCAGAACCTAAATAAAGCTCATTTACAAACATGAACTTTAGCATTTTATAGAAAAAATATTTTAATGACAATTTTTTGTTGTTTAGGGGGAAAAAAAGGCTTTTGGCTAGTGCTGAAATAGAAGTTAAGTAGAAGGGGCTATGCTATATGTACAAGATGAGATAAAGCCTTTTATACTAAAATAGATTAAAATCTTGTGTGGGTTTTTTTCTTTGTCAATTTATTAAATTTTTTTCTTCTCTTTTAGGGAGCCAACATCTTAATTACCGTAAGTAATTTTCCTATCAGCTAATATAATTATAATAAGTGAAATTAAAAATAGAATCTGAAAAGTATATCAGTGTTTAATATAGTTTTAGAGCATTTAATTTTGTTCAGGTGCAATGCCAAAATGAACAAATTAATCTTTTTTTGTTCCATACATTCTAATACATGTACTTTAATATGTTCTGTACAGTCTCTATAATGTTTTATGGCACTCATTTCATTGCAGAACCCGATTTCAGTGAAAACAAGGTTTATACATTTGATTATGAAAGCACACTTCTCAGTGGACTTCCAGAGAAAGGACTTGCAAGAGCTGGAATAAGAATAAAAAGTAAAGTGGAAATTAGTGGTATTGGGCCAAAACTTTGTCTTATTAGGGTAAGAAAATGTATTCAATTTGAAAGGTAAAATTCTCATCATACTTGACTAAATTTTTAAGTTTTTGGGAAGTAATTAAGTTTCATCATGTGCTGTGCTTACTCAAGGAGAATGTAACTAACACTGTTATATTTTATGCACTGCCCTAAATTCTATTTGCACTTTGCCAAGTAATTCTCAGCTCAAGCCAACCTTGGGCTTGAAGAATTTCTTCTGCTTTGTGGTCAGGGAGACAATGGAATGCAATTTCAAATGCACAATAATTTATTACTGGATCAATCCAATTGTTCCAAACTGTACAACCTAGGATTATTTAATCAACTGATTTCATAACCAGCACACAAAAGGCAATAAAACATGCAACAGTAGTTGGATGTGATTCAATATTTAGCATAATTAATGTCATCTGGTAGCTTCTTTTTCTGAAGGGTCCCAAGTGACATTCTTTGTCATACTCAACTGTATATTTTTACTGCATGCTGAGTAATTACTAAGATTTTTGATTATGTTAAAAACACTTTTGCCTTTAACAAAAGCCTATACATGCTTGTAATAAGTGTATTGAAATTCACCCCTCAATTGCTTTACAGAAACTCCACTTAGTCCTCTGTATATGGGGAAGAAAAATGATCAATCAAAAAACTTTTATTTGGCAAATTGAAAACTGCAGGTTAAAAAGACTGGTGACTGTCTGATGAATGGTTAT